ACGGTGTGGGCGTCGAGGAGAGTTGAAATCACGTCAACTTTATGATAATGAGCTATGACGGGGTTTGGCGGCAACCAATCGGAATGTAGAAGTCCTCCGCCTGAGAAGATTCCAGAGAACGCAGTCCTGTAAACTTTGGTTCCGACCACATTAGTTCCATTAGAGAGGTTGATCATTGCTGTGGCGGATTTCCCAATAATAATGAATGTACAGTACTAGATACAGCCAATTTCATTTCCACAGTGCACCTGTCAGTATATGACAGAATATGAACAGAGAGTGGATTACACTCCCAAACAGAGGATTTCCTCATTGTCCCTCTTTAAACAGGACTAATGGATGAGTACTGTACGTGTGTGTACATGTATAAATAGCCCTGTAAAAGCCGTTTATAGCATCACTGAAGGACAAGTCCTGATAATCACTGGTCTTAACCGGGTCAAAGGTCACAGCACAAGTAGCTCCGTCCCATTCACAAGACAACTGCTGCTGTCACACATGTGTGTACAGTGACTCTGTGCAGTCTATCATTATCTCAGAGTGTGTGTGTGTGTGTGTGTGTGTGTGTGGGACCACAACTGTAACCAGGAGACACAAAGCACAGCATCTATTAAACTGCTTGAGTAAACAGACCTTATAAAAAGGTCATCATGAAGGCCTCATTCAATCCGTCCGGTTCTTCCTTCAGTCATTTTCAACTCATCTGCCATTTAGACATTTGTCCATCTGCCATTTTTGTCATTCAGAAAGACAGCAAAGACGTCACACTTGGTGTCTCAAAAACACATGAAATGCACCACAAAGATCATCTAACCCAATATGAACAATTGTTTTTATGGGGTTGTAATGTCATTTTATTATTTACAGGTGCTAGCTGCCAGTTTCATTACTGTCTGAAGTTCAGTGTTTTTCTCTCACAACCCAAAAGAAAATGACCACCAGATACTGTTTGAATTACCTGCTGGTTTCTGACAAACAGGATCTAATTGAATCCCTGCCTGATCTATGCATTTACATGGAGGAACCAATGCGAAGAGAAACCAAATGCAGCAAGTCTTTGACACTTTTGCCACATAAGGTACTTGTTAATTGTATGCCAAGTCAAATATTACAATAACTGTTTCTCATAAGTATTCGATGCATAATCACAACTGATTGAAAGTAACAGTAAAGACATTTTTAATGCTACAAAAGATTTCCATTTCAAATAAATGCTGTTCTTCTGAACTTTCAGTTCATCAAATAATTGTGATTTTAAGCAGCACAACTGCTTTCAACATTGATAATATAAAGAAATGCTTCTTGACCATAACATTTTCAAATTAACAGCTATCTTAAATCATATTAATATTTCACAATATTACTCTCTTTACTGTATTTTTTGTCAAATAAATGCAGACTTGGTGCGCATAAGACACTTCTTTAAAAAAGTGCACATGAAATTGGAGCTTTCTGAAACTTTAGAGATTGAACTAATTCTACCATAACATGAGCACACCATTAAGTTAGAAGGAGGGGCCTGAGTCATAAATAGAAGAAACCAGTAAAAAGATGACCCTAAAAACCATTAGAGCACACTTGCAATGCCGGTTTCCTAATGCATTCAAAAAAACACTCAAAACACCTTAGCATCCACAAATTTTACACTTGCTTTTTAAAAGAACTGAAATGAACTAACTATATAAATAATGCTGCCATTTAGTGTTGTCAAAAGACCCGGTATTTCGGTACCAGGTCGATACTAAAAAAATGAAAACGTTACGGTACCAGGTTTTCTTAAGTACCGGTGGTACCGAGTACCCGGTCAGCCCGGTTCTTGATGCGCTATCCGAAAGCTATCCTCTTCCAGTGTTGCCAAGTCCGCGGTTTTCCCGCGGAATTGGGCTGCTTTAACACTGTTGCCGCGGGTTGTTTTTCATGTCCGCGGGTTGAAAAACGACCCCATTAACGTGATATTTAGCCCCTGGAATGCGAATTTTACCAGGGGAACCCCGCCAAAACATGCGTATTTTATCCTCGGAACGTGATTTTTAACGGGAGACCCCCTCGAACCGCGATTGGGCGGGTTTTGTTGTGAAAACCTGGCAACCTCTTCATAAAAGCAGTGGCAACCTCAAGAGGAGGAAACACAAAGTGATTAAAAAGTGGCAACAGTATTGGGATAATGAGACTAGAATACTGAAATTTTGGTACCGTGACAACACTACTGCCATTCATGGTGCATGAGATGACAGAACATCCCTGTAAATTAATTTCCATCAGAATGCATGGCCTTTTTGTTTTGTGACCTTGAGATGTAATATGTGTCTGAACAGGGCTCGTCTTACTCATCATGATCTGATGGAAGCAGCGGCATACGTTATTACTGAATGGACAATACCTACTTCAGATACTGCTGAGCAGGAAACTGAAGTGTACAGAGGGCAAAGTTTTGCTGAGGCAACTTAATACAGGTGGTTAAACAGGAAAACATCACTCAGAATCAAATATGAGCTCTCAGTACAAGGCTAGAAGGTTCCCAGAACAACATTTCTCCAGTATTTGTTTGCTTTCTCCAGCACTGGGTTAGATTATCGATTTCCTCCGCGGCTATGTTCTCTATGTTTTGCGAACAGGTAAACAGAACATACAGAGGCTGAGAAGGTTGGGAAATCATTTTGTCCCAGGAAACACAAAGCCCAAGTCTGCCATCATGCATAAATGTAAATCTGACAGCCATAATGATTAGGCTACATTAGCGTGCTGAAGAGGAAATGAAGATCACAAACCGGTTAATGTATGAGCGCAGAAACCATAAACAAAAGCAAAGGTCATTCTTGCAGCAAACAAAACCAAACTGGACTTGCGACTATCAGCTCATGACGGAAATGATGTCAAGGACGAGTTGGCAGGTTGAACGTTTCACTGTGAGAGAATCAAGACTTGATTAATAAGTATAACTGAAATAAAACTGTATATCACACCACTTCGTGATGCTCTTTTATCATTTAAAACCTGATTGAACAGTAAAATGTGCACATGTTTAAGTCTTCTATTCCTTTTAGACCTAAATCTCAGGTTTTCTGCCACAACCCAAGGCTGATGTTCAGATTTGGCAGTCTTATTTTATCTGGATCAGTCCTGCGTCCCTGCGGACGGCCGCGGCTCTGAGGGGCTCACACTCTAATCGCTGTATAACACTGACATAACAGACCCACAAGACACTGCTGACACTCGGGCAGAATATTCTCTCTTGTAGAAAGGATAACAGTCTGGAGAATGTGTTATTACATTTGTTCTGGCTCATGATTACTGAGAATGATTTGGTGTTAAATGTCCTGAACCCGTCTCAACAAGGATCTGAATACACCAGCGTGAGGGTAACCTAGCAGTTAAAGATCTGTACTGGCAACACAAAACACAAAGACAAGGAGTTTAAAGGAGTGTAAAGCGTGTTGTTGTGTTGAACTACTCGCTAAAGATGAATCTGCAGCTAAACGGTGCAACTAAAACTTACAAAACATAACTGTTAAAAAAAAAGTTTTTTTGAAGTGAATAAAACAGATTATTTATTGGAGTATTTATTACAAGAAAATGCTATTTCAGTTTTTCTAATTTAAAATTTCATGTTTAATTGAATGTTACTTGCCATTTCTTTGTAATTATTTGTGAAATTTACAAAAAAAATTCTAAGTAAATTTTTTTTGTTTTGAAGTAAATCATACACAAATTTTTTTTAGGGTAACTGAAATAATAAAATATAGATATTAGATGAAACACCAATGAAAACTGGAAATGCTGCCTTTGCAACTAATGGCTAAAATAATGATTAAATAATTTTATTAAATAGTTCATAAAATAGTTTATAAAAAACAGTATTAAAAATAACAGAACAAAATTACTACTATAAATGAAAATTACTACTAACTAAAATGACATTATAAAATATAAAAAAATATAATATAAAAATAAAAGCAAAACATTAATTAATAGTATATAGATAATACCAAAACAACACTGCAGCTATATTACAAACACAATCTCTAGGGTGAAAAAAATAGAAGGGACATAAATTCCACATTTTAGAGGGGACATAAATTAAAAACACATTTTACTTGCATAATTTGATTTATTTATATTTCAGGAATTGATTAGATGGTGAAAATAATTTCTATATGACAGCTCCTTGGGGTGAAAACTAAAAAGATCTTGGTAACAAAATCCATTTCAGAGAAAGTCCCAATTAAAAAGCCTAAACCTGAAGACATGTAAGGCTCTTTAAAGCGTGTCATTTCTGCAACACTAGCAAAAATGGAACTGCAAAAATAATGTTTTCAAACAGATTTCCTGAACACTCCCCCGATCTGCCATTGGTCGGTCAAACAAGTTAGCTCCACCCCAAACTCCCACTATCGATTGAGTCAAATTTGAACAAACAAATGGAGCAATGTTTACACTTTTTGGGGAAACTGACATCTAAAGGTGTACTTATAGTTGTTCCTACATCTTGAACTGGGATAAGAAAGTTTTTAACATTTAACAAAAAATGACACGCTTCACCTTTAAGACTTTTCTTTTTTTTGTAAAGCAGCATTATTTTCTCTTCATGAGATCTTTATGGGAAAACTCTTAAACACCGAAACGCATCTGTGGTTAATGGGGAAGTATAACCAAGAGACCATCTGTCACTGTGCGCTGAATTATCTCGGGTTGATTATCTTAAACTAAGTCCGATTACGGGATGTCACAGATGGGGGTCGGTAGTATCTACAATCCCTCATCAATGAACACAACTGAAGCGGATCTCTCCAGAGGGCATCTCATGATGTCACGACATGCATTCACATATAGAACACAGTGTACCAGCCCCATGCACTGCGCAAGAAATAAATAAAATAAACTGCACTCCTCCTCATGTGCAAGGAGATTATTTGGCTGTGCTTAGTGATGCAGTGTGCATTTGCATGAGAAATTAAATGCATTAACTCTATGAAGGTGCATGTGCTCTGCAAGCTCTTTACCTTATTGCAGTACAGCATCCAAACCTCATACAGTCTCTCGGGCGATGCCATTCTGCACTGCAAGCTGTGAGCATGTAGGCAGAAATCTTCCCGATTATATTATGGTCAGTATTCCCAAGCCTTCATGGTGTCAACATCCTGCCAAAAGGAGTTTGCCCAAATGCCACGTTAATTCGTGGATAACAAATCCCACCAATGGGTGAATCTGAGTCCGTGTTAATCCAGGGTGACAGATCGTGTCATTTCCTCCGTGCACTGTGAAATCACATCCATCATGTGAACGATACGAATCCCAGACGACTTGGACTTGTGCGTTTCCGGCAGTTTTCCACCAGCAGCTTTTCGATATTCCAAAAATTCCTCTGTTCTTCCAAGCCCTGTCGACAAATACAGCACACATTAAAAACAGCCCTGGATTTCGATGCTGCACGAATGCATTGCAAATTCCAAAAACACATTTGCATGCCACAGATAACAGTAAATGTGCAATGCATGACTTTGAGAGAAGGACAAAATAGCCCAAAATAAACAGAGACCCATGACATCATCCCAGGCCAACTCAACATCAGCCAACATTATATTCCAGCCTTGAAATAGCATGTAAACTATATTTTAACTCCATAACTTGACAATATCAGTTATATATTTTCTGTGCATTTATTATTTATAAATGTCCAAGGACTTGCACATAGTAAGAGTTGATCTAGAACTCTGGGTGTTCTTCTAAGCTATTCATACTAAACAAAAATGACAAATTATTAGATTTAGATAGAAACTTACAACACAAGATAGAAAACATTCAACACTTAGACCAACAGCATTATCTTGACTAAAATATTTACTTCAGAAATAGATGTAACTGTTACGAATACTTCCTAACATCAACACGAATTATGTTTTTTTATATTATATTTTATATTCGTATTATAAAGATCAGATCATAATAACAAGTGGCAACGGCATATACAATACTAATACTGTGCATGAATAGATTAGCTCACTATCGCTGTGAAACTCACCTGCCTCAACAAAAGCAGCCCGTCGAAACTCCCGACCAAAAAAGCTTGTGTTCTGGTGAAGAATCCAGGAATGTGGCATGAACTGAAAGCGCCACTGACATTTAACCCAGGTCGGTTTCAACCACCCAAACTAGCTTTTGACTCATTTTGTAACCAGATAAGCCTGACAGCCCGGATGCATGAGACGAATATCATCGCATTGGACTGGGACGGCTCGTTACAAAGCCACGGCACGGGCTCGAGTCACTTGAAGGTGTGTGTGTGTGTGTGTGTGCGTGTGTTTTCTTCCCTAGATGTTTTACGACAGGCCGCACTCCTTTACGTTGCCTATGTGGAGCTCGCAAAGGCGTGGCTGAAACTAGCGAAACAACCAATCCCTCAAAGGCTTGGCGTAATGAATATTAATTACATCATGCTTACGTTGCTACGTACGCTTCCTTGAGATTTTTTTTTTACAGTCATATTTTATAACTGATATTTTAGTTGGTTTGTTTTTAGACTATTTAATTTAGTTAATAAAAATCTAAAAATCTATCTAAAAGATTAACATTAAAGTCAAGAAGGCCTAAACTATGTAATATACAATTTTCGTACTGAAGACATACTGAAAATATTTTTTACATACCCGTTTATCTTTTTTTTTTTTTTTTATTATTAATGAAAATAGAACAAATAACAAACAGAGCATAGCATAAGACAGTCAGTGCTATACAAAGTGTGACATTAATTAGTAACAGGAACTGAAAATAATGTCATAATATTTTAAACATGTTAATTACTTTTTTTAACAATTTCAGAGAAGATATAAAACAATCAAATTCCACTAAAAATACCTTAAATATTGGGGATGAATTTAAGCATTTTTGTTTATGTATATAAAATTTTGCCAGCAATATGAATAAATTAACAATGTATATACCCGTTTATCATGCAGTCAGGCCGGGGTGTTCTGTTACGTAATCGAATTAATATTCATAAACAAACTTCAGCAATTCGCCAAATGACTAGCGTTCACGTGCCAACGTATGCCGATCAGATAAACATGTATAACAACTCACTGTATAAACATGACCTTGCCTAATTAATACTAATAAGATGCCATCAACAAGATTATTAAATTAAGCCTCAATAATTCGGTCGTCGCTATTTGTAAATCTATAATTCATGTACTTTTGTAAAGATTAAGTTACCTTGACATGAAATATATTGGTTTTTGCAAGCATGATATGTTAAAAAATGCAGGATCTATTTATTTTATGATGATTTTGACTATTTTGACAATATATGACCGTCCCCTGCTGGCCAGAGAGCACAAATACAGAAATGCTTTGGTGCAGTAAATAAAAGTTCGTCAAATGCAAAACAAATTCCTGGAAATTCAATGTTTTTGAGTTTAAAAGTAAAATTCACCGAATTAAATAAGCTCGCAAAATTACAAGGGAAATAAGGTAAGAAAAATTATAAAAAACGATATATATAATTATTTAATTGGCAGGAACTTCTAGAATTTCACTTTGAATCTACTGCATTAGGAAATGGCACAAGGCAAAAAACAAATGACAGGACACCAGAGTTATGAAATAGAGTAAGAATATATCACGTCTAAATACAGTTAACATGTTTTTAAAAAATCAGTAAATATAATATCAGTCACAGTTACAGCTGCTCAGTCCTTCAGTTTCATCTGGATTGGGTTGAGGCAGTGTTGACGAGCGGTTGAACAGCACAGCATTGATGTTTTGGTCTGTTTCTTCACAGGATTCAAACGTGCAGTTTCTTCATTCAGAGCAAGAGGAGGCTTGTGGATATCTGAACACAGAGATACATACACACAAACACATGTACTGTACACACACCCACATGTTCACTGGCACAGGTTGAGTGGGTGATGCACTAATACCTTACACACACACACACACACACAAAAGATGATATCTGGCTCCTGCATTCATGGCTCAGTTTGATGACCTCACTCGTCGGAGTTGGATCAAATCCAGTGATTTGCAGTTAGTTCATGATGTGATTGGCTGCTGTGAACATCAAACAGGAAGCTCTGATCACACACTGACATGGTTTAAATTCAGAATAGCATACTAACAGTATGTGCGGCAGTATGCATGGAATACTTGGGTGACCTACTACATTGCCCAAAATGTGCAGCATACTTATGAGCACACAGCACGGAATAAGACACTAGTCACAGAGTGTGTCATTTTTTTTTGTCCATAATAAAAGAGAAAATGTTGCATGAAGTGACCAATCAAATGGCTTGACAGTGCAGTTTCTTTCCTGTATTTTACAGAAAGTTGGGTGGGACATATAAAAAAATGCTTGTTTAAAAATAGCTAATAGTATAGCTGCATGATTGTGAAAAATTGTGATTAAAAATACCCAGGTTTGCTGTGCTTGTTTATAGGGCTGCACAACTTTGCCAAGAATTTTGTTATTACATATAACGATGAATATAATATACATAATTTATTATTATTATATATTTTTAAACAAATAAGAAAAATTAGCATTGCAATATTTTACTGTAAAATTAAAAGTAAAAATAATTAATAAAATATTAAACAAAAATAAGAATGATTAATTTTGTAATATTTCACAGTAAAATTAAAATAAGAGTATTTAAGGAAAACAATATTATTATTATTATTATTGAGAAATAAAAATAGCTATTTTTAATTCTACAGTGAAATAAAAACTAATATTTCTAATTGAATACTTTTTATTTCTCAATAATAATAATAATAATAATATTTCACAGTAAAATTAAAATAGTTCAAGAAAAACAATATTATTATTTTTATTATTATTATCATGATTATTGATAAACAATTATTCAAGTAAGAAATATTAGTATTGTCATATTTACTCTAAAATTAAACCAAGTATTTAAGAAAGACATATGTTTAATAAATTAAAAGCAGTCTGAGATTTAATAAACACTGTATCACAAATTCAGTTTTATTTTGATGAATCGTGCAGCCCAAGCTAATAGGCTTTTAGTTTAAGTCACAGCCATTAACTAAGAGTTTTTACTTGCTCTTGCTAGTCAGGAAAAGTCTAGGCAGCTGGTATGTGCTCGATCTAGAGAGCACTTGATTGGCTAAAAATGTAGATATGCCCATGAGTGCAAGATGATGTCATCAACACTTTGGTCCATATAGAGATGGGATTTAGTGAGATTTCACTGTGGTTGGGGCTACCGTAGTATGAGGTGACAAATACAAACCAAGTGAACAGCAAAATGACTAAATCTAGCAACTGGTTAGGACGGATTAATACGGAATATACTTATGGAGAAATGGGCAAGAAATGGACAAGATACAGACGAGATGGAGACAGAAACAGGCGGCGAGGTTTAGGAGAAGTCCCACATGCCGTCCTCGGGCTCGGGGTCGGTGGGTGACGGGGTGTTGCAGGTCTGGGTGGGCGTTTCGGATGGAGGCGTGCCTGGAGGACAAGACACTGGCACGGCCGGATACATCAAACTGAGGAAAGAGTCCCTTGTGTGTTTCTTCACCTGGAAGATCAATACATGAATTACTTTAGGCTACACTGTAAGACTGAAGACAGGATCCAGTTTATGACAGCTTGATGAAAGACTGAATGTACCTGTCTGAAGAAGGGATGAGTGAGGAGAGCTGTTGCAGACGGCCTGAACGACAAACACACACATAATACACAGAGTTCAATAAAGGAAAAAAGGTTTATTTTTATATTTTAGATATTTTCAACAGCTCTGGACAGGGTGCAAAATTAACATTTTATCATTT